GAAAACAATCTCAGGAGAAGCGTCAGAAATCAGAAAGGCTTAAAAGAAAACATAATCAAACACGGAAGGCCTATTGCTTCAAAGGATCAATAAGAACATCTCCTAAAAACACTGGTGCCTAAATTTAGTGCTCTTTTTTAATCAAAATGCAAATATTTTTGAATTTGGTGCTTCGTACGCTTTTTGGTGTTTTTTTTTTAAGTTTGAGGACACCAAATCTGTAAATATTAAAAAAAATGGAAGCAAAATTTAAAGCAATCGTAAGTTTTGTAACCAACTTTACAAAAATAGAAATAAAATCATAAAGAAACTTAAAAAAAGTAGTAAAAAATAGTGGAAATCGGCAGCTTTGTGACACAAAAAGATTAAAAAGGGAAATCAAAGTTCGTATTGTTTCAAGAGTCAAGCGGTCGGAAAGTAAAGTTCTTTATGTTTCTTTAGCTCACGAGACCATAAAAGACTGCAGTGTATATTTAAACTACCACATAGTTCATGAAACTTCATTTCTTGTTTTTGCTTTCGTTTGATAGGAATTGTAGAAAAAATTAAGCAAAACGAACAAAAATTTCACATTTAAATTGTCAGGAAAAAATTTATTAATTTTTCTCAAATCTAAGCGAAACGGCAACGATGGATACAGCTGTAAATTTGAAAATAAGAACAGGAATGTTAACGTCGCTTGGTCGAAAATATTTGAATTTATAGAAAACAGAATAAAACGACCGTCGAGCAAGAAACATTTATTTTTATTAATTTGAATCGGCATCCAAAAAAAAAAAAAATCATAAAAACTCCATTTTATTGGGTTTTATTGGTTTTTCAAATTCAAAACTTGGCAACTCTTTCTAAAAATCCTCTTTATTTCTTATTGTACCGACTGGGAATCTACATAGTTACATATGTATGAGTGCATAGTTATGTGTGCATTAGTACCTATAGAAATATTGGCGCACGGTGTTGGCCATTGTCGTCACTGTAGTTGTGAGATAAACAAAGCTAAGGATATAATATGGCACCACAATATCACGTGCTGTGTCGTTCTTTGGTTTGTAATTTATTTTTATTTCGATATTACTGTGATGTTTGTTGATTATTTAACAACAAAATAGAAACCAAATGTATGTATTTTATTACTTTTTTCACGATGAAAAAATTATTAATGTCATCTTATTAAAGAGCGCTTACAAGGTCCGCTTGCGATTAAGAAAGTAAAAAAATTACGACAATTACGAATTTGGTATAGGCCCTCCATAAATTGGATGTTCCACAAAATCGGATAAGACATTGACCACCCTTGCTTTCAAGATACTATTCCACAATGCCCTACATAAGTCTCGCAAATCGAGTTTTTAATTCCTTGGGAATAACGCCAGAAGTCTCGTTTCGTTCGATTCCGCTGTGACCTGTACCCGACATAGTGTCACCATCTTTCTGGCTGCCAAAAGTTGAAGCATGTCAAAACACACGCTGGGTTTCCGAAAGCTACTTTGTTAACGATTAGTCTAAGGTGTTCAATTCTATTTAGATTTTTCATGTAACGGTTGTTTGTAACAGCCTAAGGGCATGGAGATAGGAACAAATATAGTACTTATATGTGTATATATCTATATTAAGGGTGTCCAAAGATACACGGGAAAATCACCTTTTTGGAATTTTTTATATAAGAGATGGAGTTATGAAAAAGTAGTTAGTAAAATTTTAAAGTAAAATATTAATAATGATATATATATATACATTTCATGATCCAATGATCGGATCTAAACCAGCTTAGTATGGGACCACCTCTTAGGCACTACTTTTCCAATGAAAAAAGAATTCTCGAAATCGGTTGACGTGGTACAAAGTTGTGCGATGACATACATAAAAAAACATATTCCGACGAATTGATAACCTTCTCCTTTTTTTGGAAGTCGGTTAAAAATATGGGTCTTATTGTTTTCGATATTCTTCAGTGCCGGGCTATAAACAACTTTGTACCACCCAATGTATATACATATATACATAATCAAAATGCTCAGAATGAAAAGAGTTCCCAGACTGGCTCTAGAACTCAAGACCTTGGCTTGGGCAACTGATTCTAGCGCTGGCTAGATATTCCTGGCAATTATTTCCTTGTCACCATCAGGACAAGCCCTGGTAAACTACTGCGATACAATGATAAACTATCAGTGCGCTAGGTATGTGTGCCAAACCTAAATTATCTCTAAAATTACAAAAAAGGCACAGTCTTACATTTTATATAAGCAATTGTAAGGGGATTCTGATTAGTAATTCGACAGTTCATTAGGACGGAAGCTGTTTTGAATCACTGGTCAGCGACTGCTTAGAGCGAGCGTGACCTTTGTGTCTAGCGCATCGATAGTTCTTCTTGTCGTACGCTAGACGGAACAAAGCAAATCTTACCAGCGCCTGTCCAAAGTCGAGATTTATTTTCGGCCGGGTATATTTCAGTAACCACCGATCCAATTTTAAACATTTTCTTGGACTTTGTTGGCCTTCAGCACCGACTCTCCTTTCACTCTTCGTACAAATGACTCGAAACAATCCGCTAGCTGAGCAATTTTTCTTCCTGAAAGGTTAGTATTTCTTGTCAGCATGGCCTCAACCTTTTTTATACCTGTTCCATGCTTTCGATTTACGTTAATATCTGCCTTAAATTTTTGCATTTGCATTTGCACAATGAAAACGACGAGCTACGGACAGCTGTCAAATTATTTTAACACGTACTCTTATGTAGACGACCCGGCTACGCGGCGACTGTGGTGTTGGCCAGAATAGATGTCTTTCTATTTTTCCAGCGACAGATAAGGTTCTTCCTATTATTTTATGTCAAACTCATACAAATTCATGATATCGCTGCTGCGTTCAAAAAATCATGTCGTCGTCGACAAAGCGTTTAGATAATGAAAATAACAAAATGGAAGCTGTGGCCCGTAGCTCGTCGTTATCAATGTGTTAAGAACTGTATTTTTATTAACTTAAGGCCCACTTGCAGGATGTCGAGTTATATCTTTAACTTAAAACAATCGATGAGTTACCCACTCAGGGCAGGTTAAATTGGTAAATTGGCTTGCACAGCTGGGGGTTACGGGTTAACTCAGAGTTAAAACGTAAAATTTTTAACCCAGCAATGTTGTGGGGTTAATTTGCTAACTCTGTGTCATTCTGTCAAAAAATTTAAATAAATCCGTTAAAAGTAAAAATAAGTTCAATTTTTCAATATATATTCGCATCGAGAAATATTCTCAATATATAATAAAATGCTAAACGAGTTGTGGTGGAATGGTATTCGTTAGCCACCTCCATCAACGCTTTGTTTTTTTTTTTTTTTTGAAGCTAGCACGTCGGTCCTTTTGTTTTCAATAATGTGCGTGTGCTTTTATAAAATGTCGCACATTAGCAAACTTTCACGCTTTGCGTAATTTGGAGCACGGAGCCGCGGCTTCGCTTCGTTCTGCATGATTGGCCATGATTTTGAGATATATAAATAGTTTTTTAACGAAAATATCCAATAAATTTCCATTTGCGCTGTGTAAAATTAATAAACAACAGGTTTTTGCTTACCTGAATTTAATAGATGTGTAGGAAGAATTTAACAGATGTTTATGAAGATTTAATTTTAAACTAATAAATAGCCATTGATTGCATTATATTTTGATACTTACGAAATTTTTCTAAATTCAAGCAGCTATCGCTGAAATTACTGAAGTAAGCAGACGAATATGAATAATCAAAACAAATGACGCAAAAAAGGGTCAATGATGTCAACCAAAATCAAAAATACCCGCAGGCAGGCAGAGTTAACTAGCTCGGCTTCAAATATCTCTTGGGTTAAAAAAATAACATTTTAACTCTAGGTTACTTAACTCTGAATTTGTAAATTTAACCTTGGATATTCTACAAGTGGGCCTAAGTATTCCTTGCAAACCTTTTGAACGTATACTGCGGGTTTAAAAATAATAATTTGTTCACGCACTTTTTTTTGCAATCGAAGAGTAGATAATGAAAAGTAGAAAATAGTATTTGGCATATTTTCCAAAAATAATCTGATAATATTAACTATTTAAAGTAGTCTGCGACTTAAATATTGAAACTGTATATTTTCGAGTTTCGAGTTTTTTTAACTTTATGCATGTTTTGGAATACCATTAATAATTACTACTTTTCACGTATGTATTTTGTAAAGGAAAGATGGGAAAACCTTATCGGTTAATTATATTTACAAAAACAACAAACTTCAAAATCTGCTGGTCATTTATCCACGTCTCAAAGCAAAGCAACTTTTTCTACAATTTCAAGGTGTCACATAATGTAGTATTTGTGTGTGTATGTAAGTAGATACATTTAAGTATACATATGTATAAAAAAAACTTCGACACTAAAAGGGTAGTTTTTCAATATACTATTTACATACTTTCATGCAGAGCCGTGTTGCCTTCGGTGTTTTTGCTGTTGCAGCAGACGTTGCTCACACGCCAAAATAAACACCACAAAAATGTTTGCAATTATTTTCACACAAAAACACAATAATTAATTACATATTTTCAAAGTGCCAAGCTGTTTACTGTTATTCGCACCGCACGAAAAACATACGCACATCAATAATAAAAATCAATTTTTTAAACTGTCAAATTTTTGCTACGGCTAACGTTTTCCTACGTTGCGCTGCACTGCTTTTCACATTTTCAGCCACCAACCAACTGGCCTTTTCACCCCGAAAAACAATTGTTGGGTTTTCCTTCTAGCTGTCCACACTACACCGCTCCGCACGCACCGTAACACACTGGCAACAAATTCGAAATTCGTTAAGGGCGTCCCTTTTTGTACGATTTCAATGTACTATTTTATAACACTTAAAATTTGGCAAATTGCAATTGTAAAAAAAAAGCGTCAAATTCGCTGAAGCGCATCTAGTTGCGCTTCCGCTTTCTGCTTCGACCAACGCCAATAAATTACTTTCTTGCTGTCAATACGAATATTTAATTTACATATGTACACACCTTAGCTTTCTTTTGCTTTGTATCACCACAATTATTTATTTTTTCATTAATTACTTAATTTCTTGTCACTTTCAGCTTTTGGCGAACTGACCAACTCCGAATGTCTTGGCGCACGACTTTAAACTGCATTCAAAATATGCTTTGTTGGCGTGAAAGACAGAATTTCGAAATATAAATAACCGAGCCAAAGTGTGGCATTATTATATGTGTGTGTTCGAAAGAGTACAGCAGCTAGGAGAAAATTTTGCAGCACATGCGCAATTCATTTGTTGTCATTATCAAAATTTTACGCGAATGCGTATTAATTGTGCCCCCAACGCGTCACTCCCCCACACACAGGTGTATTCATTTGCGAAAGAGCAACCCTGCGCATGCATAATGTGGCGAGCGAGCGGATGTGAAGAATTACTTTGGTTGTATTGATGCCACTCAGCGGTGGCTGTAAAAAATGTTGTTGGATACTCGCAAGTTGAGTAACGAGTAGAAATGTTGGCGTTAACTACAAGAAATTTTTCTTGCAGACATTTTTGCATTGTGGAATGGAGAGAATTGTGAATGTAGCCGTTCGAAATTCTTGCAATTCGACAGTTGTTTATTGGAAGTGTTCCATTTATCTGTTAAATTTGAACAACGCGAATCTTAAATATTTGAATACAAAATTAAAATTTAATGTAAAGTGAAATTTCTTTGATCATGTCAAATCGAACACTGGTTGGAATCGACCATTTTTGATTTGTATGAATTTTGGTTAGAACTTTTTTTTATCACATAACAAAGTTCCGCCAACGGAAAAAATTAAAATTTTGTTGTCGAAAGTTAGCAAAATTCCAAATTTCTCAAATTACGGGATTTTAAATGTTTAATTTTTGATTATCTCATAAACTAATACAATTACAAAAATAGTGCTGATCTTGTTTGAAAGGTGATATTTACAGGTCTATCCTGCACGTTGCCGAAGATTTTGTAACTGGAAAATTTTATTACCAAAAAATGTTGCCAGTAGTTGTCACCGCGATTCAGCAGTTCAGCTATGAAAAATTGGGGAAATTCTAGCATTGCATATTTCACGGGGCAATACTTTGTTACCAGCTTATGAGATGGTAGCGAAATTTACCGGTTACAAGAGCACACAGAATGCGAAAAGGGTTTAAAAATTTACAGGAACTTAATTTACCGATTCAAAATTTTTATTACCATCGCAGAATATACCTGAAGAAAAATATATGAAAAATTATAACATTTTGAAATTAATAAAATCGTTAAAGCAGAAACTTATAAAACTTTTTGACTCATTTTCTTTTGTACAATACCGGTTTTCAAAGATATCAATTTGTGAACTTTGATTTTTTTTTAACAATTTTTATTTATTTGAAAGTTGTTTTTAATTTTGAGTTTGCAAAAAAAAATGTCATAGTTCAAAAGTTGACATCTAAAACAAAAACTTCTTGTAAATTTCAAGATCTCTTAAGATCAGTTGGAGGTGTTTTATAAAAAAAATAAACTAGGACTTTACCATTGATTTGTGGCAATTGTTGACGGTGTGACGTATTTTCTTCCACAAAAATGTTCGAACATTTTTTATGCATGCATACCTACTTAAGTAGATCTTTTTTTTAATTTTTAATACAAAATTTGTTGAAATTATTCGAGTCTTTATAGATCTTGTACAAAGTTTGAAATTTTTACTTGCCCACATGGTTTTTGTTAGATAGTGAGCTGCATTTACTTTTATAAACCAAAATCGTAAACATTAAATAAACAAAAGAATAATAGCCAAAATTTGTTAAAACGTCGCATCCCTATTTGTTTGCCCGCCACTGAAAGTACCCGTACTGCAAAAACGTACATCAAGCACGTATGTATATCCTATGCCGTTTATCTCAAACGCTTCAATATATGTATATGTAGAGGTTAAACAAGGTTGGGGATAGGACACCAACCTATGCAACCCCTTGCTTAAACTTTCTTGGTTTGGATGTTTGATCTCAACAGAGGAAAAGGAAGGCCTCCTCTGCGTTAGAAAAAGCAGGTGGAGAAGAACTTACCTTCACTTTGTATCTCCAATTGGCGTCTGTAAGAACAGAAGCGGTTACAGCGCCAATAAAGAAGAATTTCGAAAGACATTTTTTTGGCCCTTCTACGGGGTCGCCTTTTCAAATTTTTCATCATATATTTGGCATTCACAGTCGATTCGAATCCAAATCAAATATTTTTCCCGAACGTAGGGGTCTCCTTTGGTAATTTACTTTGGGCATTTACAGTCGGATCGTAAAGTATGATATGTATATGAACTTTTTTCTAGACTATACAATTTTTTTGTCCAAAGTTCATCGATCACAAGTATACCGTGCTAGTACTTACCCACCAGATCTCAGTTCTTACCACCGCGCCATCCTAATGTCAGCAAATTAAAGTTATAAAAAATCATTAAATCCAAATCATTTTTTGGCTATTCCAGTAGAACTATTAAAAAACAAAAATTCTAGCCGAATCTAGGTGTCGCCACATAATGTAGGTACAAGGCGAACCCTAGGTCGAAATTACCTTACAAAAATACTTCAGACTCGCGAGTGTACTCCGTAAGGTGGTACAGTCTAATGTACATTTGTTTGCCATTTATAAAATTTCCTTGGAAGCAGTATCATTTCGATCTTGGAGGTGTTAATACAAAACGAACTTTACACAAACCATTTACTTGTATAAGTAAAATTAAATTCGAAAAAAGTTATATTAACAAAAAAAATTTAATTCAACAGCTTTTTTGTTCTCGCTTTCCATAACGATAATTCACCATATCATTTAGCTACATATGTACATACATACCCCGAATGGAACTGCTTTGGCTAGGTCTTGTTTGCATACATTTTCAGCAGCGTAAATGACAAACTTTGATGTGGATATGTATTAAAGTGCATATGTATTTATATGGTTATAATACACAAAAGCCTTCGAAGTCCCAAGCAACTCTTATCCGCACACAATGGAGATACCATAAGAAAGACAACTCTCTACACAATACTCACCGCATAGCCGATAGCTTTACTTACCTATTTCCTAAGGGAACTTTTGCTTGTGTTTACTTTACCCCAAAACATAGAATCACACATGCTTACATACATATGTATGTATGTATGTATGTATTATATAGGAGTACATTACGTAAACACGAGAAACAACATGTGACTCCAAAACACCCACAACGTGTCTCTCAGCGCTACTATATTTCAGTTGTTATTTTTATGCTTTTTTTCTCATTTTCTTCCTTCTTCTCGCATGAATAATGCTACAGCCCAGACTCATTGACGTCTACGTCTAGCCCATTTAATATTTACTCGAGCGAGTATGAGTACACAGAAAACGCAGTCACTTGTGCCTCACCAGGGAATGCACACATACACTCCCACATATGGCCACTCTTACGAGTATTTGCGCGAAACTTCGAAATAATACGATGCATCAACGCCAATGTGTTTTTTGCATTTCGCTCGAATTGTTTGGCAGTACTTGTGGTACATTCGCCTTGAAGTATGCAATACAAAGACGCCGCTTGAGCAAATAGCGATAGTCTGTGGTGTGCGTTTGAGAACCCATATCATTCCAGTTAATTTTTTTGTTTTTCTTATTAAAGTTTGTTAGTTTCGCGTTTCCTGATTTTTTGGCGGGAAATCGCTTTGCTGGTCGAAGTTTTTCGCCACAGCTGCTGCTATTGTTGCGAAGTTTATTGGAAAGTTGTGCTAATAGTGATTTTCCACTGATTCTTTATTTTTCTAGCGAAATTGCTGCATTTCACTTTAGCTTTGTGTCCCAACTTTTCTACTTAACTTTTAGCTATGTTTTTGTATCCTTAAGAAAAAAATATCCAGTTACTTACGTTAGGTTGATAATGTAGCAATATTAACTGTTTTAACTGTAAAGGCGGATTCATCATTTTAGTTCAGAACTTTTTTTCCCATGTGGTTGTTGTTCCACATGGAAGAAAAGCTCAGAACTAAAACGGCGAATGCGCCTTAAATTACAGTAAATTACATCCTGTTACAAATTACAGTTTTGTGAAAATTTCAGATTTGAAAAAATAAATTAGGTTGAGGGTTGAAGTGGCTGCTAGGTCCAGAGGGCGCCAGCACACTTAGGCCCGATCAGGGCCCAAATAAATTAAAATATATCAAATATATATTTAAGTTTCGTTTGAAATCAGCAATCCTCTTTTGAATAAAAATGGGTCAGCTGCGTTCCTATCTTACAGTTAAAAACCTTAAGATTCCAAAACTCCCCGCGTTTTTGGAGGTTACAATTTTTGTTGAAAATACAGTTTTTTCTTGGAAATTCTTAGTTTTTGAAAAGAAAATCTGGCAACACTGCTAAGGTTCAAACCATTTCGTTGAGACAATGAACTTTGGTAATGCTCTTATGTTGATTTCAGCTATCTCCGAAAGATCTTGTAGAACTAGTAACCATGATAAAAATATAGCAAGGTAGAACCGTTCTCTCAATTTGTCGGCCATGATTTTTTTTTGAAGTTTGCCAACATTTTAAAATCATATAAAATTGAAAATAAAGAATTGAAATTGTTCGAAATTGTTGTTGCTTGAGATTGAAAATGAAAATGTGTGTGTGAGTTTGTGAGTAAATTTAAAAATTAAATTGTTTGGAAACGTCAAGAATTTTAAAAGTGACTCTCAGCGGTTCTACCTTACTATATTTTTATCATGCTAGTAACTATTTTCCAGTAAGAAAAATAGCTGTTGTTGTGATAGGTGTAGTTGGTCCAAGTTCAGTTGTCATTTTCGCGCTCTCAATTTTTTCTACTAGGCACTACTAAAAGATTTAGTCTTACTATGTACAAAATCTATATAAATAAATTAAATAAATAAGTAAATAAAATAAAGGAAAATAATAAATAAAATGCATGAATAAAATAAATAAATAAACTTTTAATGGAATACAAATGTTTTATAGCTTTGTAAGCTTCAGCAACTCATCAAGTTTGTTTCATGCAAGTTTTTGTATATCATTACTTAGAACATTTTTCTCTCAAATAAAACAAAATCTCCTGGTTGAGCTAAAATTTATTAATTTTTTTAATTAAACGTTTAACTCTTTTTAAATTCAAAACCTTTCAATACCAATCTCTCCAATCGACCATGGTGAAATTATACCACCAAATATCTGAACTGCAGTATAACCCTGTACCTACGCCAACACCTTGCTGTGAACACTGCCAGTTGTCAAACTTGCCTGCAGCAAAATCACCAGTCGCGAACATTCTTTGACAGCACCATGCCTTTGCTACACCCTGCTTTCGGCGACGGCGTATTCGCGTTTCGTGTTGCGGTTTCAATTAAAATTTTCCTAACTTTTAATCCACCGATCGAAGCATATTTACCAATAGCAGAAGCACAATGCATTGCTTTACCACAATCTTATGAAATTCAGTTAGGAGACGAGTTGAAAACGTGAAAATTTTGAAGGCGAAAAATTCACAGCAGCATTGCGATCATCGACGAGCGAGGTAAGTTTCACGAATTTTTCTTTGTTTTCACCCGAATGCGCGCGTCAAAACTGAAATTTCGTTCGGATTCCACCTCCCTTGCGTGTTGCTAAGCAGTGGAAAATAAGGTTGTGTTGTTATTGTGTAGTAAATGTAGCTGCAACATGTTGTAATTGAAGGTGAGTTTTGCGGCGCAGACGCAGAGCATATGTTTCAAAGAGCAGTGCCGGATGTTTGTAGGGTTAAGGGGGTTAGTGGGCCGGTAAGAACTGGGGCGTCTAGGACTATTCTTTTAACTCGTAAAAGTACAAAAATCTCGGAACTTTCTTAGCTATAGATTTTAGCGCGTTTAGACGTCTTTCGAATTTGCAATTTTTCAGTATTTTTTTAATTTAATAATTTTTACCTAAAATTAGTGCGGAGATAAGCAAGCGTCTAACATTATTTTCATAGTGAGAATGTTATTTTTCGCCACAATTCTAGGCCTTTGATATTCGGTTCTCCTGAACAATGGCTAATGCCACCGAAACCAAGTATGTTACCGAAGTACCAAGCAGTCTAAAGCAATTGGCACGTCTTGTTGTCCGCGGCTTTTACTCGATCGAAGATGCGCTCATAATTGACATGTTGGTGCGAAATCCTTGCATGAAGGAAGATGATATTGCAGAGCTATTACGTTTCGAAAAGAAACAAATGCGCGCACGTATCTCAACTTTGCGCAATGACAAATTTATACAGATCCGTTTAAAAATGGAGACAGGACCTGATGGCAAAGCACAAAAGGTCAACTACTATTTCATTAATTATAAGACATTTGTGAATGTTGTTAAATATAAATTGGATTTGATGCGCAAGCGTATGGAAACAGAAGAACGTGATGCCACCAGTCGTGCCAGCTTCAAATGCACAAACTGCGATAAAACATTTACGGATCTCGAAGCCGATCAACTCTTTGATTTCACAACAGGCGAGTTCCGCTGTACATACTGCGGCAGTCCTGTGGAGGAAGACAGTTCTGCGATGCCAAAGAAAGACTCGCGTTTAATGCTGGCGCGATTTAACGAGCAATTACAACCACTTTATGATCTATTACGGGAAGTGGAAGGCATTAAGTTAGCGCCGGAAATACTTGAACCCGAACCTGTTGATATCGACACAATACGAGGGTATGATTCGACTTTCTTTATGCTATTAAAAATTTCATATTTTTCTCTTGTTCCGACCTTTAGCCTGAACAAACCTCTCAATCAGCGCCCTGATGGTCAACAATGGTCCGGAGAGGCGACACGTAATCAAGGTTTTGCAGTCGAAGAAACGCGTGTTGATGTTAGTATTGGCGGCGATGTACAGGAAGCTGTTACCGAACGTAAGGCTCGCCCAGTCTGGATGACAGAGAGTACGGTTATAACGGAAGACAATCATGATGCCACCGATGCCATTTTGAACGAAGCGGCACAATCATCCACGCAGCATACGATTAGCGTGGGTGGTTCAACAAATAATCGCAGTAAAAAGGAGAATGAAGATATTATGTCGGTGTTGCTACAACACGAAAAGCAAACCAATCAAAAGGATGCACAAGCAAAAGGACTTAAATATGGATCGTCGAACGCAGACTCTAGTGATTCTAGTGATGACGACAAGGACATAGATAATATGAAAATACGTGAGTAGAAAGGGACTGCGGGCCTTATATGTATGAAGGTATTAGTAATTACTTAGCACTTCTTCATTGCTTACTTGCAGCCAAAGTTGATTACAATAACTTTATCAATTCCGAATCAGAAGACGATGATGACGATATTCCTTCAGTGCATGTTTCCGGACGACCACATCCAATCGATCAAATCAATGATGAACTTATAGCTCAAATGACGCAGCAAGAAAAAGAAAACTATATACACGTTTATCAACAACACTACAGCCATATTTACGATTAAATTGCCAATTTTCTGAATTGGCACACACATTTATGTAGATTGGTTGTCAATTTTTGAATTATATTTTTTATTAGTTCAATCTTACTTAAACTTTACTGCAATTTATTTAATTTCGTTTTATTTGCTGTTGAAGTTCATTATAATTGAACTTATGACAAGGAAAGTATAGGTATGCACCTTCATAAAGAAAAAATAGAGGGAGCAGTTTTATTTAAAATCATGCCAACATTTGTTAGCAGTAAGCAAGATGAGTTATTTAAACAAAAATCATTTAAAAATAAAAACGAAAATGTTTAAAAAGTGCATTTAAACTTAATTCATTTGGTTTTTATTTAATTATACATATATTATAAAAAGCATGTGTTTATTCAATTGTAAATAATACTAGCAAATATACCGAATTTTAAAAGCTAAATACAGACTCCTTGCTAAGTCGCCATTGGTTTTTCGCGTTGAATATCAGACAGCAGCATATGGCACTGGGCGCTTTGCAACTACATACATTGCGCAACAAGAACATTTGTATGATTTGATTACATTTCAGGATTTTTAATTGCCAACTTTCGTAACATAATAAAAAAGTATATGTAAAAGGAATAAATGTCGACTATGTGTTTATCACTTTATATTGTTTTAGCAAAAAAAGCTCACTAAAAGGTCCCTCCCGATACCGCCACTGGTTTTTCGTGTTGAATATCCGCAGCAACATGTGGAATTTGACGCACCGCAACATTCCTGCGCAACAGACGGCTGGCAACATCTCTCTCCAATCAGAGTTTTGGTTGCAGCAAATTGGTCTAACCGACATTTTTATTTAAATTTACACATGAAAGGCTCATAAATATTTAATGAATATTTGACGAAAATATCAAATATATTCTAGTTTGCATACATCTTTAATTTTACAGGAGGAAGCCTGCATTCATTTTTCCTTCTAAAGCGCTCAGAAACACCTCACTCGAAAATTAGCAAACGGCAGCACTGATAACATCACAACAAATGTACAACAAACACTTGATTTTGACATTCGCAGCCACCTCGACGAAAATCTCAGCTGTTCTGACAGCACCACCTTGAATGAATTCGCCTTGCCTTGGTCATTGCATTTCGTGGAATCAAGAGAGGATGTTGCTTAATCCGCTTAAGTCCATGTTAGTTTTATATTTAATAAATGTTTTTAATATTTTCACTAACACATTGAACTAAACGTCACAAAGAGCGAAAGGGTTAAAAGTACGAACGATCTGATCTGCGCGCGTACAATCCGGATAAAGCAACAAGAAGGAAATGTAAGTATGTATAGGAAGTTAGATCATTTTATTAGATGTGAGAATTCTAATAAGAAAGTTGGAAGGAAGTGTGCTGAACGCCATGTGGGAAAATTGTGCAATTCAACCAAGTGATGACTTATGCATGCACGTAGCACAATAAATACAAAAATGTAGAACTACAAACACTCGGCTGTGAAAATTGACTCAGTTATAATTGAGGTCAGTTAATTTCTTGCACAGTATAATTTCTTGTACTAATTATAAAGGCGTTGGAATGAGTTCGTTTGATACAAAGATAGCAATATGCATTTAACAATTTAAAGCAATCAAACTTATTTAGTAATAGTGTAAAAAGACCAATGCCAGTTTTTACTTAGCTATAACCATTTACCGCATTCATTTATTTTTAGCTAATCAGCTGTTAACGATTGGCATGATTATTAACCCTACTGTAGTAGAAATACATAAGTGCGAGTGCATTCTATAACACCGCATTTCAACGCAACTTACTCGATGTGATACGACGCTTTAGTAGCTAAACATAACGCTTATAATCGTTTGTCGTAAAGTGCTAGGAAAGTGCTCGCCTCAGCCAATACAATTATTTTTTTTGGAGCAATAAACCCGCGGCTATCAGAAATATGTATGTAATTTAAAGCTTTTGAATAAACAAGTTCAATAGTTGTATACTCAGCAATTAATGCTTAAAATCTTTTCAGGAGAATTTTTTCGCCTAGAAAGGAATCCAGCACGATGGATATGTAGCTTCGTCAAGAATTTTTAAAGTAATGATTAGCGTCATCATATCTACCTATATCCATTTAACACGCGCACTAATCAACCAGAATTTAATCACTTGTATCAACATTAAACAAAACAAGACAAGACAAAAACAAAACTACTTTGTTATCAACGGTAAGTTAACTATACTAAGATGATACTTCAATAAAAGGCTAGATTTCAAACAACACGTATGTGTAAAGATTATTTTAGAAAAAGTTTTCATTCACGACGGGAGCGATTAGTTGGACGATATACAAGACTGTTCATAAATAGTAGTTAGTCACGATTAGCGCGCAGAAAGTGCCAGTCGAGAGCGCAACGAAATCGAGTAACCATGTGGCCAAAAGTTGATAAGGAGCTACTGCCTATGAAGGCGCATTATTTCTTTTTTAATGCAGGTACGTACTTTTTCAACCTCTAAAACAAGTGTTTAACAAATTTAAGCTAGCAAACTGTTAATAATACAGACAAAAGTAATGCATACATACGTTTAAGTTCAATATACCACTTGTAACGTTCGATTACCACTTGGTGCCAATTAATTTAATTTTTTGCCGCATGTGGCTATCATTCCTTTCGTCACACTTGTACAGTATTTTTCGCTAACTTTTGCACTCACATGCACATGTTTGCAAGTATAGCTGGATACTTACTGGATACTTTTTTTGACTTTTCACGTCTACTTTATTAAAAATCTATTGGCTGTTTCAATACATTTGCGTGTGATCAATTTAACACTTCTTTCTATTACTCACTATTATTACTTTGGTCTTTGTATAATTTACAATTATCGCATTCTTTTTTCAGGAACGGCGCCGGTAATGCCTTTCATGCCCACATTGGCGCGTCAATTAGGCTTCTCTACAGTGGTGGTAGGCACAATGTATGCAATTTTGCCGATCGTTGGCATGTTAGCGAAACCGCTATTTGGATTTATAGCAGATCGGTAAGTGGATCAATTGATTGTGGAAGTCTTTTCAATTACCATGCGCTTGCCCGGATAGTTTTTTGCAGCTATGTTTACAGTTAATGTCGTTATCATTTCAATGGTTTTGAAATTTAAAGATCTCCAAATTTTAAAATTTTAGTTTCGCAAACCTTCATCGATCCTTTTGAGGAGCTGGTTTTAGTCGCCAATTATACCAATCTCCGTTCTCATAATGAACGGTAATTTCTTCATCTAAATTGCACTCTGACTAAAGAACTTAAACACATCTAAAGGAAATAATTTAACGACATTGGGCCATATGAATAAAAAAAAAGCAATTGCTTTTTCATAAATATCAGACATTTTACTCGATTTATTCAAACAAAATTGAAGTAAACGGTATGAAAGTTTAAGAAAAAGCAATTGCTTGGTTTTTGATCATACGGCCCAATTTCGATAGCTGATCAAAATCCAGGCGCCTCTTCAAAACCTTACAAAAACCAATCAAAAAGTAACTAAGTGCGGGTATTTGCTGTTTACTCGACTTAAATGGCTCCTAAAAAATACATATTTCTATTTACATATGTACATATATCATTTGAAACTCCTTATTGTAGCTATTGCAACTCATTTAAATAAAAAATCTTGCCTCTCTTGCAGTTATCAACGTCATCGAACACTTTTCCTTATCGGCGAAGTACTCACCGCCGTGGCCTTCTTCCTCATACAATTTACGCCATCCATTCCACAATCCTTGCCTACTGTAGAATTTCACTGTCACGGTGGTGCATCCGATCTCAAATATTATTCCGAATTTGATAAGTGCATAGAACAGAATCTCGAAAGTTACTATGGCGATCGCGTACTAACTTGCCAGCTATACTGTCACGCTAATCCTGAGCAATGGGACTTCGTTTGTGACAACTGGCTACATAACAACGGCAGTATTACAAGTAATGTCACTTGTCCTGATCGCAATAATCCACAATTAAACTTTACAACATTTGTCAATATGAGCGAAATTGTGATGGCAAGTGACCATCTGTTCTTTGTCATACCACACGATCAAGGTCAAATTAATGGGGAAAATATAACTTTAAATTGTCCACGTGAACAGTCACAATTCAATACAAGCTGTCAGATTGAATGCAATGATAAATATTTCCATAGCCAACTGGTGCAGAGTGCAGCGATAAAGAACAGTGATGTGACGGGCATGTATCAATTTTGGTATTTTTTTATCATGCTCATTGTGAGCTGGATTGGTATGGCGGTGGTGGTGAGCATCGGTGATGCCATATGCTTTTCGATATTGGGTGAACGACATCATTTGTATGGAAATCAGCGATTGTGCGGATCCATAGGTTTCGGTGTATTTTCCATTATCGCTGGTGTGCTAGTAGATAAAATGTCTGGCGGCAGTGCTACTAAAGACTATACAATCGTATTTTGGATGACTTTGGTGATAATTGGCTTTGACCTGATATCATCCACGAAATTAAAGGTATGATTTTTATTTTTATAACATTAAAGTCAAAGAGGTTGTGAATGATCGATGTGTGAAATGCACGTACATACATACTTGTATTGTTAACGAAAAAGGTGCCTAAAAACAAATTTGAAATTGTATAGCAGAGGCTTTTTTTAAGACTGGGTTAGAAAGCACGACCCATATTAATTAAATAGTCAATAAATCTAGTATCTTTTCACGATATTGTTTTGAAATTTGTTTAAAGTGTGTAAATGTGTCCCATATTAGCATACTCATATTTAAAATAACTTTCCAAAAAAAAAATCAGTTAGTGCTTTTTGCATTAATAATTACGTTATATTCGTTTAACTTTCATTTTTTGTTTTATTCGTTCGTATTTTCTTTCATTACAGCACACACAAACCCACCTCTCACCCAACATTCTCAAAGATGTCGGTAAAATGTTCCTTTCAGTACGTTGTGTGATATTTTTCATTTGGTGCGTTTCGATTGGTCTATGCACGGCACTCGTTTGGAACTTTCTCTTTATGCATTTGGATGAATTAGGCGAAAAACTTGAAGGCTGTCAAAATTCAATGAAAACACTTGAGGGTATCGCCATGGGCATACAATGTTTCGGTGGTGAGCTGCCCTTTTTCTTCCTTTCTGGTTGGATATTAAGGAAAATCGGTCACGTTAATGCAATGAGTTTGGTGCTATTCGCATTTGGCGTGCGTTTCATACTCTATTCTGTGCTGGTGAATCCATGGTATGTGCTGCCTATTGAAATGTTGAATGGTGTTACATTTGGTATCTTCTACTCAACGATGGCGTCGTATGCGAGTATTGTAGCGCCACCGGGCACAGAGGCCACTATGCAGGTGAGTGGGTGGACTAAACAAACGCTTTATATTTCTACTTTTTATTGATATTAAAAAAAAAAAAAAATATGTTTGATGCAGGGCCTAGTCGGTGCAGTCTTTGAAGGTGTGGGCGTATCAATGGGCAGTCTCATTGCTGGCAATCTCTTTGCCGCTGTAAGCGGTAGCGGAACCTTCTTGATTTTCGGAATTTTCGCCTTCATTGTATTTGTTGTGCATGTATGTGTGCAGATATATTTGCAACGCAATGCTGTTGATACAAATGGTAAGCAAACGGAAGTTAATAATGTTGCGCACGAAGTGAACAATTTACCAGCAGAAAATGGTTACATATGGACAGTAAATGCAAAAACGCCTAAAGGTGTTAACGCTGAATTTACTGACGTGGATTTAAGTTGATTTTAAAAGGTTGATAAAAAAAATATAAGTAATTTAGTACTTAAAAAGTGCCACCGAAAACGGTGAATAGCAGAGCAACGCCCTAGGCATAGCAAGTATTAGCGCAATATTTTTATGTACAGATAGTTTTTTATTGAACATATATTTTTCCCACGATTTTTGATGCTATAAAACCACTTTATTAAAAGTAAAAAAAGCTATCTCAGTGATAGTTTATACTAAAATAAAAAATTGGTTATTTCTAAAACCAAGTTCAAATCGAAAACAGGGCTCTTCTTTACTCCTGCTAGCCAGTTTATTTTTAAGACGTTTGATACTTTTATATAACAGTCAGGTGCTCATTGTGTGAATCTTTGAATAAATACTAAATTTCTCGAAAAAAAAACTTTTATTTGCATTTCTAAATGAAAACAAAATTGAAATGTGTACATAAATAAGGAGTACACCGAAAAGCAGAAAGCTCGGAGCTCAAAATTTTCAACAAATTTTAAAAGTTCAGTAAAAGTTTCGCTGTTTTCGAGCACTTAAGTGCTTTCGTCAGGTAATTTCAAATTACTTCCTAGTAGATGAATATTTGCATGTACAGATTGCTTGCTTAATAATTATTCAGGTACCCTGCAAACACAGTCTTCAACGTTAGAGAAACATTTGATTTACATTCGAATTATAATGCAGTTCTCTAATGTTTCTCTATGGTAAGAGAACTATGTTAGAATTCGATTAGAAAATGATCAGAAAAAATACTATACATTATAAACCAATTAGAATTCAACGTTAGTATGAGATTAGATACTAAGCTTTTTCTCGATATCGAGAACTTAGTTCCCATTTTGTAGAGTATGCTATAATTCTTCGACTAGAATTCGAATCGGTTTCTAATCGTTCTCTAACTTAAATGTTTGTTGGGTAGTTAGCATTTTGTAATGAAAAGTATGTAGTTCATATGTTTGATAGTCTATATGTATTGCATGTTATTTTTTTCGTTTTGTGATTTACGTGAAAGTTACAATTATAATTTTCAGTTTGTTGTTTTAGACTTTGTGTGAAAAACAATAATTTACAAAGAATTTAGTATGTATCGTTAACTTGTATATTTTTTTGCATTACATACATATATGTAAACCAAATAATGTTCCTCCGACAGTCGGGCCTACGGAGCCAGAACGACCCTGATTTATATCGGGCCAAGAACGTCGCTCCATCTGATTCCCCTAGAACCCTTTTGGGAATTTTTATGATGGTACAACAACAAAAACCATCAAATACTTACGATCGAAGAACAAAAGTCAAATCAATGATCAAATAGTATAGAAAAACTAAAGGTTTTGCGAAAATCTCAAAGGAAACGCCTTCCAAATAAAGAGAAATCCATCTCCACTATATAACAAGCATTAGTTTAGACGTGCTGCTCTTATTTAAAGTCAATAATAATGAAATCGAGCACAAATTAAATTTTCTTTGTTTACATATGATGTATAATCAAGATACACCATTACAAACTAGCTAGTACTTAAAAATATATAACTGTTATGCCTCAAAACGGAGTACAAATTTTGATTACCTAAATATGTATAATCAGCAAATTATGAGTATTTCCTTTGATTTTATAGTAAAGATCGAAAAAAATAATCCAAAAAAATTATATGAGCTTCAGGCTTATCACACTCCGAATTCTATATTCAGTTGAATACTTCTATTGTTACCAATTGACAAATTACTGATCATTAGATTAAATAATTTCTTTGAGTTTCATAGGCAAGAAAACTTATCAAATGAACTACTTTTGGAGCACATACATATGTATAACTAACTACCTACATACATATGAACAATCTAAATATTTTATTTTCAAAATTACTTCCAATTCCTTACCACGCTGATACGTTTATCATTTACTGCGCTCATAAAAATATATGTATAGCAATTATTCCAGTGTCTATAAATTCTTATCTCCAAGTACAATGTTGTAGTGAGCAAGTCTAGCAAACGTATTGCATGCAAATGAAACTTCGGTCTGGACAACAAATTCAATTACCTACATACATAGATGTATTAGTACTATATAAGATTTGCGTATTGTTACATCTATTAGCGTACATATACATATATATTTTGTATTTAGATTTATTTTCCTATATGCTTCTATGTTTGAATTGCATTTATTAAACTTACCTTTCTACATTTTATTTTTCTTTTCTCTCATTCCTCGAACATTGACACATTTCCAGGAACGGTGAAATATTTGACGCCCAACGATGCGATGCATATGCTCAACGAACCAGAATACAGTATTGTCGCTTAAAAAAAGCGATTAACAAAAAAAGATTTCCTGCTTATAAGTAATCAACTGGTCTATGGCGTGTGCCAGTTTCTCCCGGTCTAATGTGTGCGTGCAGCAGGTCTGTAGCTGCAATATATCGGCTTTGAGCACACGGCAGCTGCCTTTTCTTGCTTTGATGTTCTATTCTCACTATGAGCTGTGAATCTTTTGCGTACTTATTAGAAGGAAAACAAAAACAACAACAAAAAACTACGTACATAATCTATGGAATTGTGGATGTACTTAGTTAATAGTAAATGTGTATGGTATTTTTGAAATTTCTGACATTGTAGCATTTGAGTGTATTCGCGATGAACTGTACATTTTACATATCTACACAAATAAGCATTTATAGTTGATGTCAAATTTAGCGTAATTGTTTTGATAGCTATAGATTATTACAAATTACGAATTAGTAACTTGCATGCGGTTTACGTAACGAAAGCAGTTTCGTCAATCCACTAGATAAATTTTAATATTTCATTTCTATTTTAATTTAGGTGCAAAGTAGTACGCCTGTGTGCTTTAATAGCTAATTATACGTTGAGGGTAAGTCTCTAAATACTTTGTATTTTGGAATTAAATTTTATTTTAACTACATATAAAATCGCTATAAAATAATATTATCACGCCTGTGTAGTGTAGTAAGATATAACATTTTTAAAATGTAGTTAAGAATTTTAAATTATACTTTTTAGTTTGCTAAGGCTTTTTACTTTATACATCTTTTTTGCTCAAAACCAAAGCATTATAACGTTGTGCTCAAATGTTGCCCTTAGCACAAAAGAAGCGTATTTCTTTGAATAATTGAGTAGCAAAGTAGCTGCATACATACAGAACAATTCATCTTAAATTAGGCAAATTGTATTGCAAGCATGTATTCGTTTTACATTAAGCATGATAATGCTTAAGGGCATTTTTTATTAAACCTTTGTATTAGTGTATTTTAATTATACATGGTACTACATTTACATAAAATATAATCAAAATCTATTCTTTATTAACTAAAACAAATTGCAAGTCTTTCAGTATTATTATTATTTTTAACTTCAATATATAACGGATTTTGTATAAACATTCTGAAAATCCTACCGAAATCCTTTCTACTGTTGTTGTTGCTGCTGCTGCTGTTGCTTGGCGATTAAGGACTCCTCTTGTTGCTGCTTTTGCAATTTGCGTTGGAGCTCTTTTTGCTTGCACACTTGCACGTTAAATGCGCGTTTCTATTCAACAAATAAGAATTGAATTAAGATCGCTAACAGCAAACAGAATCATAAAACTTAAATAAAACGCATACCTTCAAAACTTTGGTGCGCTGATAAATATTCTGCATTTGTTTTTTTATCTTCACCAATTTCTCGCGATAAATTTTTACATTGTTCATCTGTAATAAAACGAAGTGAGGTCCATAAACACAAATGTAATAAATAATTTTATGATATTCAAAGATATAACATTGTCGCGATTTGAATTTGCTGATATACATACATATATCGTTGAACGTTGCGACTTCAGATAAACGCGAACCATAAACGTTTTTGTTTTAGTTATATATTAACCAGAATATAATTTATGTAGGCATTCTTAAATGAAGTCATTAAAAAGTGCTTCGTTACATGCCTCCAAGTAGGGGTTTTTCCAATTTAAAGTTTATGCGAAAGTATAAATTACCTTCTTTATATGGGTAGTGAAAGTAGAAGCCCTTCAACTTGTGCCGCTCTATATAAAACAAAAAGGAGAAATGGATGCACAGTGGAAGGCCTCTTGACTACTTGGTACTTTGTCGCAAATAGATTGTTTATGTGGTTAATGATACTTCATCGAAAATTGAGTAAATATAAAATGTTCAAGCAGAAAGTTTAATTCTAATGTAGCACAATGAAGTTAATGAAATTCTAATACATGTAATCTTGACATCCTTTATATTCAAATTAGATCAACAATTGAAATTCAAATGAATCAATGGAAATTGCATTAATTTTTAACAATAGAATTTATTCTTCAAGGTATACACTTACCATTTCATGTAACCTCGTCGTTTCAGCATCATCTAATTTGTATTTCTCAGCCGATAAATCAATGTAGATTTTATTCTGCTTTCCACTATACCAAAACAATAGAGAACTAAGTACATATGTACACAGTTTTTTACTGATTCAAATCTCATGCAACTTACATGAGTTCTTTCAGCTGACCGCGCGCTTTTGCTAGTGGTGGCTCGAATATTTGCAATAAACCCGCGGTCAACTGTTTGGTGGCCAATGAATCTGGTGTTTGTTCACTGCTTGCCTGCTTTGTTGTTGGACCATTATTATCATTACTATCCTCACAGTCATCGTTTTTACCAAAAGTATTTGAGAGTGATGCAGCGTAGGCATTGCTCCCTTGTGGTATGAACACTTCATCTGCTTCATTCGAGCTGGTATTATTCAGTGCTAACGGCAGTTGTGGCCTCGGTTGCTGACCTCCCGCTTCTACAGCATTAATAATACTGGAATTGAAATACAAATTTTATCATGGAAAATACAAGATTAAAACGCAGGTATCTTGCGTGTTATGTTATCGTTAATAGACGGCGCAGTGTCAATAAATTTGTTTATGACCCAGATACTTGTACAGCTCTTTTTGTTGCTGTCCGTTGGCCCGTTATCATTGTAGCACTTGTGGCTTTCCGACCCTTTGCGAAGGAGCTGAGAAAGGCCTTGCGGTTGATTATATTGTTTTTAGTCATTTATGTACCTCTCTATATTACTACTTTTCAGCATTTTTAAATAAAGGTATTAATATTACTATGAAAATTAATGCACTAGACGTTTTACGATTTAATTAAGCTCTGAAAATTTAATAACAAATACGAAAAATTACAAAAGACCAGAAAAAAAGCGAAAAATGTGGGGGAAAAGATAGACAAAAACAATGTGGAATGCTGCCACACCGCACGAATTGATTTTGGCTGTGTAAAAATGTGGCCGTGGGAATAGCGGAAATGTCAAACGTTTAACTGAAGCGGAAATGCAGCTGATAGGAAAAGGAAATTATAGGATAGGAAATTAGGGATAGACACTAGACTTTTAAGTTAATCGCACTCTAATTCCGACCGTGAACAACCAAAAAATGTTAGACGTCATGTTTGACAGCCTCGCCTTCTTGTGTGTGCACCTTACTGTCAGTACACCAGGCGAAAGGGCAGTCGCTTTTAAATTACGCTGCGCCAATATGGACACCAGCCACTAGTAGGTCAAGACTATAGTCCTACCAGAACGATAAATTACGAACAATTTGTGGCATGCCTCCTCGGGACAGGGAAACCAGAGTAACAAATTTATTTCTGAATATTGAATTTGACTGAACTCCTTTTCATCCAGAATCAGCGGCGGTATATCAAATGTGTGTCTTACATGTGGAGAGGGACTCGCGATATAAAAGACATTTTCACATGGTTCTAGAACTACAGTCAGATGAGCCATTGAAAACTTCGCCGACCTCTTACAGGGTTGGAATAACGCAGACGCAAAACAACAGCATGCGTGACGTTTTACGTTCAATCCCAATTGACTCGTGGAAACCCTACTGACGACCATCAGTGTGTTAACTTCCAAACACGAAATGTCATTTTTGGCACACACTGCAGCGATAATAAACAAAGCCGCAGTTATAATTAGCTTGCCATTTGCCGGCATCACTTGAAATACGTACATATGTACACGAAGCTTCCTGCCATGCAAAAATGCTGTTTTTCATAGCCTCATTTACATTAGTCAGATACTTTTATTGAAACCAATTAGCGTATTGGCAAAAGTCACAATATAACTGTGGCATAGGCCATGTTGGCTCCTAAAATTCAAATCCAAGTTTATTTTAGTAAGTGAATAATATAATAATGTACGTATAAATTTCATATTCGTTTATTCGGAACTACACTGCAATTATACACGCATTTTTAATATTGCAGTTATTGCATATTCACATTATTAAATTAAGTGTAATTTAAAAAACAAAAACATAATGCCAAAACTTTTTATTAAAAAAAACCTTACTAAGCATTAAATAAATGAAGCTAACTAAATCAAAATGCTACAATATATTCGTAACTTAAGGTACAAGAATACATACTAAAATGTTAAATATGTATAAACATAAAAATATTAAGCAAAATTTAAATAGTAAACGCGTTAAAACATAGCAGCAGTGATAAATTACACATTTACAAAAGGAGTTTGTAGCTTTATAAGTTTACCAACACTTATGCAAGCTTAATTATTATGGATTCAGTTAACTCATTGTGTTTCTTCTCTCTTTCCCTATTTAAAAGAATAACATCACAATAATGTGCTAAACTAACTAAACCTAAGCTTCTTTATTTTTAACCCCTTTGCTTTTGTTTATGTATATTTAAAAATGTAGTCTACGATATTTGTTCGCTTATCCCTTCTTGAAATCCAAAATGTCTTCTATTGTAGCCGCACGCGCTGCATCGCTGTCGTCCTTTTCCAATTCGGCACGCACACAGCGACCGCAACACGCTTCGGACGGTTTATTATCGCATTCCCCCACTGCTGGCGGTTTGAAATTGGGTGTCCATGGACCCAGACTGCCGGTTGCATAAAAATCCATGGGATATGCATTAGTTTTTGGTGCAGTGTTATGAGGTGTAAATTCCACATCACCAAGCACAACAGACAATTCATATGGATTCAGGAGTGGTTTAGCGAATGCAGAGCCCCAATCGATCGAGAGACGTGGACAAGCGATCTGCACGAATGCGTCAATGTCGGTGAAGAGTGCTAACTTTTGTGGAAAGATCTCTGAGAGCAAAATTGTTGTCGTTGCATAACCTTTGAGGTGTAAACGCTTTTCGAGGAATCGATGTACACGACTACTCCCTTGACGCCCCAAAGTCCCCACTATTATACCGAATTTCTTGGCTGCTCTGGCGCGTTCGATTTCTCGGTAACGTATCGATTGCATTTGACGATGATCATACTCTTCGATTGTGAATTTCTTTTCATAGGGATCATATTTATACGCCTTCAAAGTGGGATTCGCAATCATGGCTGACTCTAAATGGAAGCGTCCGTCACCGAGATAAATTAGCTGCTTAGTGCTGGACGGCAAGTCGGGCGAGGTGCAACCCAATATTTCGCCAGGGCTTAAGGGTTTCGCTTGCGGCACAATAACATCATAACCAGCTGCCTTCAGTTCAGTCGATGCTGCTTGTAATGTAGTCACAAATTGTATAGTGCTCACCAGTGCTATCTGACCATTAGTTGGTTTGAAATTCAACTTGACGGAATCGATAAAATGTAATGGATCGATTTTGATATCGACAAAAACATACAGCACTTTAATATCGCTCGTCTGATCGACAGGTATGAGACAGCTGTGACCATAATGCACCAATAATTCGGCGCCCAAAGCCTTAGCTGTGTAATCGTCGACGCAACAGGCGCCATAAGTAACATCGCCCATGATGACAGTATCGGCATCAGTAAAGCGTTGAATTATATCGCTTATAATCATTGAATACATGAGCAAACCCTCAGGCAGCTGGAGCGCTACTCGTTTAGCTTTCATTTCACGTATGCGCCAGATGGTTTTGTGCAACTCAAAGTTGTAGTTGGAGGGCAGCCGATCGATGGCCTTCTGCAGCACTGGATCATCAAGCAAAGATTGAGGTATGCGATTGATGCGCGCTTTTGGCTTGAACACCTTCTTCGGTTTGGCACGCACCACTACGATTTCATTATTCGCGGGGTGGCTTGTGACGGCGGCTTTGGATGATAAATCCATGTTGACTGGTTGCATTACATCCAACATGGTGCTGAAAGTTGAAAAAATAAAAACATCAGTTTAGTTTCAAAAATGTGAGAATTCAAATATGCGTATAAGTATGTACATAGACCTACCGGTCGCAGTGCTATACCTAACTATCTACCTATCTATGTGCATAATAAGTGCATCTTTACAAATGCTAATTGTGCAGCTTTATCATTCTTGCCTTTGTCCAAGTTGTAAATTTCGTAGGGAAGAAGGCCAAGCTATTCACCTAAAAAATTGGTCATATCTTAGAAGTAGCCATTTATTTTCGAGGTCAATACTGAGCAATTGTTTCCTTATAAGATCGGAAAAATTGCCTCTGGGGGTTTCAGAAGATTTGATATGTAGAAATTAAAACAGTAGTGGCGAGAGGAACCACGTTATGAAACTTCTTGGTTGAATATTTTGAGGTTTGGGGGTGTGATCACAATTAATACGCGGGTTATCGTTTCAGTCCACCTCCGAATATACATACGTATATATGTACATACATATGTAGGTACACTGAACTTTCTGGATTGCAAAAATTGCACAATTTTTGTTTGCCAAATTAGGAAACCTCTATTTTTGATCAACGTTAAAAATTTGGTTTATTTACATAATTTCAATACTGAATTCTTTATGTAGGCATATATTAAAATACATGCATACAAATACATATAAGATGATACGTTTTTGTAAACGCCTATATTTAACTAATCGTATTTTAACAAAAAAGTTTACTTTTTAAATAAAGATATTACATTCGATAGCAAGTGCTTATCGTCGCCTGGGTAAAAGATTGTCGTAAGCGCCATTTTGACGATTTTTAGTTCTAGATGCAGTTATATATTTTGAAATAAGGTCTTTCGATTGGTGTTATCAGTTTTTAGATATCTCCTATAGTTTCCAAGATATTGACTATAATTTTTTCGATACATTAGTAAACATTTAATTAGTGATGCAGCCATATTAAACTAATCAATATCTTAAAAATGGCGTTGTCCATTTTCGGATATCTCCTTTAGTTTCCGAGATATGGAGTCAAAAGTGTGGTTAATTTGGTAGAAAATTTGTCGTATTTCATACAAAGTGGCTGCCAAATTGTGGACAGATGACGCTTACTAAAGAAAAGCCTTCATAAACTTAAAACTAATTAACAATAAACATTAAAAATTAAATAATTTAAGAATTTTGTGAACTAGTAACATTTTCAGAAACTTTGGAGAAGATATATCTTCGCGTTTTTGAGAAATTGCATTCCAAACTTCAATCGCGATTTCCCACAACTTGCCGAAATTAACATACGACAATCTATTACCCAGGCGACGTTATGTACTTAGTATACATACATACATTTAAATACATAAAAAGGCAAACTTTTTTTTTAGTAATGCCCCTTTTTGGAGCACACCATACATATTTGTTGAAACTGGTTTTCCTAAGCGATATGCAACTCGCAAATTAAAGAAAAGTGTAAACTGCCAAAAGCAAGCAGCTCTTGAGTCATAAATACATTTACATATGTACATACCTACATAGTTTAATAACATTGCGCTAAATAATCGTACATGGAAGTGAAAATCAAACAAAGGAGGCTTAATTATAAAATTATTATTATTACAAATGTACACAAATTCAAGAACTAATATATGCATGTATGTACATGGGTTTAGATACTAAAAAATTTTCCGACTAGATATAGAAACTCATTACTATAATGCATTTTTTACCTATTGCCAAACCTATTGCATATTCAAACTTAAGCTAAGAAATTAACAGAATATTGATCGCTGTTCGCAAATACGGAAAAACAACGCCATTATCCGCCTTTCTAATATTTGTTGCTTAATATTCGCTGGTCATTACGAGGTCAAGAACTTTTATTTGTTACTGTATATTTTATTATGTGGTATTAACGTCAATATGAATGCGCAAATCGAAATTATACCAAATACTTGAGTCATTAACATCATCAACGACTGTTATTCGTCAACGTTATGTATATGTTTATGCAATGCTAATGTAAAGAGCGTGTCGGACGTGGCAATATTTCCAGCTTTCCATGTATTTCGCTGTCAATTTGAGAAAGAGATATTTTATTTCGATGTGAAAAAAGCCAGAAAGACCTTTCACGTTTCTGAAATCAATTTCCGAAATAAAAGTTGCAAGATGTGACTGCAATTGAGGGAGCGCAAATCGATTTCGGAAATTTATTTCAATATGCTCGTGCTGCACTAGCAGCCTGCAATTCGCCTTTCGGAAATAAACATCTATTTCGAAAGACACTTACATGCAAAGTGTGACTGTACATGCAACCGCTTTCTGATTTGAAAGCCATTTCGAAATATATTGCATTGGCACGTCTGACACGCTCTTAAGAAACAAAAACAACTACATAACTTCAAGTGATCTCCATATCTATATTCATTTAAGAGAATGTTAGTTTTTAATCTACATTTTTATAATTTTTAATATTAATCTTACTATTGCTAATTACTATTTTAATTTACTACGATTGTTAATTACACCGGCATACAAAAAAGTGGTGTGCGGTTTTAACTCTCCCAAATACATGTATTTTGACCCACTAATTCCGAATCTGAGGTTCGTTTGACTCGTATAGCCTAAAATTTCCAGTAAATTGCGAAAATTTCGACTATTTGCAATTTTTCGGGTTTTCGCAAATTACTCGACATTTTGAGGGTATACAAATCAAACGGACCTCTGGTTTAGATTCAGCGGGTTCAAATACAGTGAAACCTACCTTGGGCGGACACTCACCGTCAATCATTTTTTGTCCGCCCAAGAGAGGTGTCCGCTTAATGGAGGGGAAGCCTATTTTAGAACTTTTTAATGTTTTAATTAATTGAATAGTCACTATTTCTTATTTGAATAAAAGATATAAGATATACATCGTTCAAACAAAAATGTGCATGTATTTTTTCAAAAGTGCACATTTCATTTATGTGCGTAAGTACATATTAAGTAATAACAAAATAAAAATAAATATTACATTTTAGTCCATAAACTACATAAGATCATAGCTTCATTACATAAAAAACTGGGAAATTGTCGATTGACGTAAGTTTTATTTTTAATATTTTTCAGTGTCAGTACCTTTTTCATCAATAGTTTTCATGTTTCTATCAGTCTCCAAGGGTTTCTGACAATTCAAATAACGAACCTAAACCACTGCGCAAACCAAACTAAATGGTTGCATAACAATCACATTTTTTCCATTTAGTAGCCGCCTATGAGGAGTTCGCGTCCGCTCAACGGAGGTTTTTGTTTGATTTGCTATGAAAAGAAATCTTAATGTCCGTTGATAAGAGGTTCGCGTCCGCCCAACAGAGTTTTTGTGTCAATTTTATGCAAAATAACTGTCCGCGTCCGGTCAAGAGAGTGTCCGCTTAAGAGAGAGTAATTTGTTCCGAAATTTATACTTAAAACTTGGTATAGGAAAAAATGTCCGCCCAAGGGAGGTGTCCGTCTAATAGAGGTGTCCGTTAGGATAGGTTTCACTGTACCCTTTTTACATACATACGTATTTATATAATTTTAGTATCTAGGTTTACAGTACCGAATCCGTTACTTAATTTACTTTTATGTAATCATTTGTATGCTTTTGTCTACATCTTTGTTGTACTATAAGAGGTCCTTCCCACTAGGAAAATAGGTAAGCACCTTGCGAGGTAAGCCATGGTTTCTTTCAGTTTTTAGTACCAAAATTGTCATCATGGCCAATGTCAT